CAAAGAAAAGTTTGAGAACCTCTGCCTTAATGTGTGTCGGTAACATTGGAAAACGCTCTTTATAACATAACTTATTGTTGTAATCTGGCTTGTGATTGGCTATAAATACGTTTGATTGATTGGACGATTTGTATTCTGTTTTTGAAGTGCATGGTGGATGATATAGGTCTGTGCAGGGATAGTTAATTGCTTCTAATTGGTGGTTTTGTGCAAATTGATTTTGAAGCTATGTATATACAGTGATACTGTTAGGGTTTGTATTGAAACCTAGTTAAATCGTACTTTATAGCATAATGTGCTTTGTAATAGCTTATTCTACATGTATAAGAATACTCAAAAGTGGAGATTGTAGGTTTTGTAAACTGAAAATAAGTCTTACCACACTCAATATTATTATCAGTTTATTGTTCTCAAAATTCAAATAGGTACCGACTATATTTTTAACAAGTTTTTTTTAAGGGGGAATATCATCCAATGACTTTTCCCGCTCGGGTGAGGCGAGAGGGAGTGTCAGACTCTTACTGACTAAAAACCACCTCGTTCCTACTCCTGCACTTCGAGCCGGAGCCCCGGTAACCCGTTAAGTCGTCCACGGCTCCGATATTTAACAAGCTACATGGATTAAACATATTTTTTACAAGTCTATAAGTTCTGATTGTATAAGAAATAATATGGTGAAGAGGGAATAGTGTATATGACGATTTGACGAACCAAACACATAAACGTGTACATGCATTTACATGCATGTGTGCGTAGACTCTATAGAGATGAATCACACGTTTTACAACTGCAAATTAAGGATTTCTTCGACCCGCCGACATTACAATCTAAACTGATAACTATATAAATAACATCACGCCTTATATCCCCGAAGGGGTAGTCAGAGGGGCACATTATGCCACTGTACAATTTAACACCCACTTTTCACTATTTATGTCATGAGTCCCATGTAATAGGGAGTGAGCCTATTACCATAATCTAAACTGAATCTAAATAAAACTCAAAAATACCTTAGTTTGGGTAATTAACAACAAACCAACAATGGAACAAAACAGAATAATCTTCAAAATCACTACAGTAAACACATACACACACTAACATCTAAATAACGTAACACGTTAGGTTATGTGACGTCACGCGAACAATGTCTGACTCGCGCCCGTAAATCACTATGCCCTGTTACACAATTTAATTAATTCCCAAATAACATCGCGTTTTGTGAACTGTGTGCAAAATAATTATTATTTCATTACAATATATTTTATTTGTACGTGACTAGTTGCTCATCCCGGCTTTGCACGTGTTAGCTCCTCAACTTACTGGGTGAACTTTTGAACAACCACAGCAGAAAAGATTTGACTGAGGACCACTGTCGAACCATTTGGTTTTCACCAGAGATCGATCCCAACATTATAAGGGCCGCTATTAATAGTTTTTCATGACGACTTTTTCCAAAAATAAATAAGACACAAAGATTTAGCGGAATCTATTCAGTTAACATGCTAATGCATAATGTGATGACCTAAAAACATTTAGATTCACGGTACAGTCATGGAGCAAGACAAACAGACAGTAATTCATATTTGTTACATTATTAAATATCTAATTTGTCTACAAATATGCTACAGTTTATTATATCATTTCATATGATTAGATCATGGATCATTGAATCACATTCGACGTTGTCATATTATTATGTTTAAATTGAAAATGATTTAGACCTTAAAATGATTTTAACTAATTAATGAATTGTTTCGATTTAGATATTTGTGAGTTTTGACGATAATTATCATGAATTCAATGCTGTGTATGTCGTTTGATGGAGTTTCTAGATGTTAATTAGCTGTTGAACGGGGCACTAATTGCGATAATGATTTAGTTTGAAATTTCTGTGGAGGTTCATGTTTGATTTTGTAGAAATGAAACGACCGTAGATGGTAACGAACTGTCAAATTTTTATTTTATGCATAGATTAAACATAATATAGTACCCAAAGCCTCTACTAGATGGCACCACATTTATATTTATTTTGTTAGAATACGACACTCCCACTTAACAAAATAAAACTAAATACTTATCTAGTATTTTATTTGACTAAACCTAACAT